ACTGCTTGGCTGCTTGATGTTCGACTTATATCAAGTGGCGGACTGTAACTGACTCCAGGCACGATTACTGCAAGTTAAGAATTACAAATTGAAGGATGTCAAAGCACTGATCAAGAGCACTAGACTTCGTGTTGATTCCAACGATTATCTTTATTACAATGATCCAATGCTCAAAACCGTCAAACTAAAATACAAGCAAAATATCTAGTCTAAGCGACACGAAATGACAAAGCCGAACAATAATCGGATATGATAAACACACGAATGCAGCAAAAGGCAAAAACAACTAACTTACAAATAAACGGATGAAATGAAACTAAAAAAGGTAAAAACATGCTTACCGATTGTCCTCTCTATACGCCTGAGTAGTTATAAACGGATCCAAAACTTCGCAATAAACGCAACAAACTTTGCAAACGCAACAGCAGATCATGCACACGGACGAATGGTAAAACTGAGGCACGAGGTTCTGAAATATGATCTGATGGAAACGTCACTGATATCTAACCTAGACAGTTACATGGCTCCCCTAAATTGAGCTAATTAATTTAATTACAACTTAAACAATCAGTGAATCAATGTCCAATCAAAGTCTCAATATAATGTCACATCCGGTTGAAATAGTTGGTTCCTCNATGATTTCCAGTCATCTTAGTATGCATGATATCCCTTCCATTTGAATCAATTTCAAATGAACTGCTTGGCTGCTTGATGTTCGACTTATATCAAGTGGCGGACTGTAACTGACTCCAGGCGTGATTACTGCAAGTTAAGAATTACAAATTGAAGGATGTCAAAGCACTGATCAAGAGCACTAGACTTCATGTTGATTCCAACGATTATCTTTATTACAATGATCCAATGCTCAAAACCGTCAAACTAAAATACAAGCAAAATATCTAGTCTAAGTGAGACGAAATGACAAAGCCGAACAATAATTGGATATGATAAACACATGAATGCAGGAAAAGGCAAAAACAACTAACTTACAAATAAACCGATGAAATGAAACTAAGAAAGGTAAAAACATGCTCACCGATTGTCCTCTCTATACGCCTGAGTAGTTATAAACGGATCCAAAACTTTGCAATAAACGCAACAAACTTCGCAAACGCAACAGCAATTCATGCACACGGACGAATGGTAAGACTGACGCACGAGGTTCTGAAATATGATCTGATGGAAACGTCACTAATATCTAACCTAGACAGTTACATGGCTCCCCTAAATTGAGCTAATTAATTTAATTACAACTTAAATAATCAGGGAATCAATGTCCAATCAAAGTCTCAATATAATGTCACATCCGGTTGAAATAGTTGGTGCCTCAGTGGGGATCCCTGGTCTTCTAACTGGAGTCACACGCAACAAGCAAAACCAATTTCTGGATTGGCCATTCCAGCACACAGGGGGGCTTGACTCTTTGGCCTGATTGATCAAGGCTACGATCGGCCACAGTGATTTTC